GGCCCGAGCCTCACTTCTCCCTCTGCTCTTTAATTCTACTTTCTGTTTTAACTTTCTGAAATCTGTCCTAAAGCATTTTAGGTTATCCTGAGACCTCAGCCTCCCATCATGAAACTCGCCCTGTTTAAGAACTCAATCTAAACGGGCAAGCCATATAAGGAGAACCAGTGTCCTCAAACCACTTCAGATGGAGCATAAATGCCTGAAGGGACCATGGGCCCTTCAGAAACTTCACTTCAGAATGGAAAAGATCAAGGTTGACCCAGAGCAGGTGATGGAATTCTGAGATATCATTCTTAAGATTCACAGTTGAATTTATGGTGGTAATGACAGTGAGTATTGGGTTTATATATACACGCATTACAGTTGCTTGGAGAGGTAAATATATATTTTAGAGTAAGGGTTGTTCCCTGATCTTAATTTTCATGTGTTTGTGTTTTCCTAAATTAAAGCAATCTGTCTTCATGTGTTATCTGATGTTGTTACTCTGCCAAGTTATGGAGTGTCTCTCTCTGAGAGTGGGAAATATTTTTGAAATATTATGATATAGGTGGTTATCAATGCAAAGAATTTCACATATCTAGCAAGAGCTCAAAAAAATTTTTTAAATTCTTCGTAGCGAAGCCTGGCAAAAGACTCTATACATGGAAAGCCGTGAACACAATAGTGTGCAGCTCACCGTCCTGCTCTCCTGAGATACACTACCACATCACAGTAGGAGCACACATACACGACCACATCACAGTAGGAGCACACATACACGACCACATCACAGTAGGGGCACACATACACGACCACATCATAGTAGGAGCACACATACACAGTAGGAGCACACATACACAGTAGGAGCACACATACACGACCACATCACTGTAGGAGCAGAGTTAGAGCGCGTTTGCTCACCTACACCTGCAGAGGGAAACTGTCGGTAAATCTCAGTGGAAAAACAAAACCACCTGACGCACACCAAGAGAAAATTGCTTAATTTAACAAGCAAAGATGCGATTGTTTTTTTTTTTATAAATTAACACCAGGCAACCAGTCTTATCCTAATATAGCTAATAATAATTATTCTAGAGCTCAAGGGTCAGTTTATTGTGGTTGACAAAAATGGTTGGTTTGTCCAGTTCTTTGGAGAAAGGAAGTTGGTCGGAGGAAGCATGGAGGAAGACTGGGAAGAGGGGGAGGAAGACAGTGAAAGGTTGGAGCAAAGCAAAAGGAGGAGGAGAGAATTAGAGGAGCAAGGGGGGGAACAGCACCTGGAGCCTCTGTGGGCCCTGAGGGACCAGCACGTGGTCACAAGTCCTGCTGTGGACTGCCCACGAACTTTACAAAAAAGCCTACATGAAGCAGAAGCGGAGGCGCACGCCTTTATCCCAGCACTCAGTAGGCAGAGGCAGGAGGATCTCTGTGAGTTCGAGGCCAGTCTAGGACAGCCAGAGCTATGTAGTGAGATCTAGTCTCACAAAACAAACAAACAAAAAACCCACAAACAACAAAGCTCACTAGGATGAATATATCTTATCCCCTGGGTACAGTTCTCTGGGGAGCAACACCCAGGGGCTCCCACAAAAGCAGTCTGAGCTTCACAGCCTCCACTCTAGCTAAAACCCCTGTCTGTTTCTCCTTTATAGGAAGGAGAGATTTTGCACTTCCTACAGTCTGTTTCACACAATTCAGCTACAGTTTATGAAGGGCCTACTGTGTGCCAGGCCTAAGGGAGACCGTAAAAGTAGATATGACTGCCCACCTCACAGAGCTGATGGGGAGGGCTGAGAGCCGAGGGCACCAGCCACCAGTGGTCCGTTGGGTGTTTGAAACGCACAAATGTCCCAAGGGTACCTCAAGTCCCCACTGAAGGAAAGGGAAACAGATTCAATCTGAAAACTGACAAGACAATATTGAAATGTTACAGCTGACGCGCACACTGGTTAAGAATAAAAGTGTTGAGTGTTCAAGCTGAACGCGGCATTCATGATCTGTGACCACACTGGCTCTAGAACTCCCGGATAAACAAACAGCCTGAGTATTTTCAGTGATACTCAAGGAGGTTCACACACTCTCCTCCAATGCATTGCAGATCTTAAAGTGCCTCTGCAACCATTAAGAACTAACCCACATTGGCTGAGTCCTTCTGTTAGGTATGTTTCTTGTTCTTTGACTACTATAATCTCACAGCAGGAATCAGAGCCTCTTGTGGCTTGCCTAAGACAGAACCTTAAGAAAGGGGCTGAGTATCAAAGAGGTCTAGGAAATGCAACTCTAAACACCCTTTGGAAGATCACAGATATCTTAAGTAGTTGACTCTGACAAGTCCTGCATACAAAAACAAAACAAAAAGAAAAAAAAAAAACAAACCTGGCTCAAGCAAGTTTTAGGGGCATGCACATATAGTGTAACAGGAAGGTGGGAAGCTGAAGCAGCAGGACCCCAAAGTTCCAGGGCACTGTGGGTACCACACCAAAACACTGTCAGAAAGAGAAAAGAGAACGCAGGGATAGAAGTGGGGGAAGGAAGGGGGAACTCTGCTGAACTTTCTGAGTCAGTGTTCCTCAAACTGACGATCACAGAACCCTTTCTTTGTGTGATACTTGCTAACTGTCCACAGACTGCCGCACGGAATTACGTTCAATCTGAAATGTATTTAATCAGTCTTGGGGCAACTCTGGGGAACTAGTTACTGTATGCTGTAGGAATATAAAACTTTCTCCACTGAATTCCTTGTTTAAATTGAAATATACCCCGAATCCTCAGTTTAAAGAATGAACGCAGGCATGAGCGCATGCAAGTGTGCAAGTTTGTGCCCATGGGCCCGTATGCCTGCATGCGGAGGCCAGAGGGCCACCTCTATGGTTGTCTGTGAAGCCAGCCCACTGAGTGGCTGGGCCACCGGGGACAGCAAGCTCAGGGGATCTGCCTGTCTCCACCCCACTCCAGCCGCAGCACCAGGTTAAGGTGAATGCTCAGCTTCTGTGTGGGTGCTGGGGATCTGAACCCAGGTTTTCCTTCTTACCTGACAGGCCCTCAGCCATCTAAGCTAAGTCCAAGCTCCCTGCTCCAAGAATTCTTTTTTAATGAACTAGAATGAGCTCTTATGATATTAACAAATTACGTGTAATTTGATCTTGCTAAAGCTTTTCCTCTCTAACATGTATTTTTTCAATTTCCAGAGTACAGTTAAATCTGAATTTTAAGAGAAAAATGCTGAGCTGAAGACAAGCTGTGATTACTTCTCCTCTATTACCTGATATGCCTAAGCTAGCTATCTGTCTCTGAGATGTGGTAGAAGGGACCACTTAGGAATAAAGCATGGGAGGAGCTTTCCTTTCTATTGGTGATGTTACTGTAATTTGTAATTCGTCTCCTCCTCTGTATGTGTTAATTTTTAAGCCTATCTTAAGTGTTTTATAGACAAAACTGCAGCAACGGAAGTATTGTTGAGTAAACAATAAAAAATAAACCCAACAGTTATTTGGCACCTATTATATTCATCCCGTGGGGCTAGCCACTGTAAGGATGAACGCACTGTCTAGGCCTTAACACAGGCAAAGGTCTGTGGGCACAGAGTAATAGGCACAGGAACTCTAAAACCCAGAAACCAGAGGAAGGCAGGAGAGTAAGTTGCTACCCCGGAGAGGTTCACAAGATGCCTAATAGAAATTTTAAGACCACCAGGCCACCACAAAAAATGACCTGTATGAAGTAAGGTGTCTCACTGAAAGGATGACTTTGAAATTTAATATTGGTCAATGAAAAAAAAAAAAAACAATGTTAGATTTGGGTCCAAACTACGACAGTTAAGGCTTCCCACGTTCTACTTCATCTGTAGTGTCTAGTTTGTCAGTCTGTTGGGCTTAATAGATAAGTTTCTCATCAAAAGCAGTTTGTTCTACAGCCTAAACTCTTAACTGTCACGGGTTTCTTTAAAGAAACCACAGCAGAAAGAACTTAACTTTGAATGATCGCACAAGGCTGAATTTTCACTCAGAGTTCTGGTAGGGCGGGGCAATCACTCACTCCAGCACGAAAAGCTGGACATGGTCTTCCCTTTCATATAGAAGTAGAACCATGATGATAGCTGGATATTAAAGACGGCTACGCAGATCAACTGCATCCTTCAAATTTGGGAGGTTCCGTAGAACTTAGTAAGCAAATTAATTTAAAAACTTGCTAGTAACGAGGGGGTCTACGGTCAAACCCTGCAGCCAAGCACACCAGGGATTGATTTACTTAAGGAAACAAAACCCGACGCAGGAGGTGTCGCTCTAAAATCCCACATGTAAGCGGAAAGCCGCCTCGGTGAACTTTTTATCTTTCCTTCGGAAAACCTTAGCCCTCGAAACTCACGATAAAAGCTGAGGCGAAAGGCGCTGGGGGAAGACACGCAATGAAAAAACAACGCGAAAACCCTGGGAGTCCCAGTCCGACTGCCTCCATCAAAGATTAACTCTGCCCTGCTGGATCCTTCAAAGATCACGTCTCCAGGAGTTATTTTCTAATTACATAGGCTTTAACTACCACACGTACGCTATTAAACCTGAACTTCAGATAGCATGTGCAGTGAAGCCAAACCGATGTTCCAGGTCACATTTCAACAGCCCCAACGAAGTGGAAAAGTGAAACTGCTTGTGCAAAGAGGGGACAGAGGTTGGGATAAACGAGGCACGGGGTGTGGGGGGTTGTCACGCCCAAGACCCTTCCCAGAGCTGATGGCCCACCCCTTTCTGCTCTGAGAACTGCAAGTGCAAAGTGCACCCTGGTTTTAACGTCTCAGGGCCTTGCCAGACTATCTCGGGGGCGGGGGGCAAACCCCCCACCCACCCTCGGCAGGGAACTGACTCGAGGCGTCCCACCCGGCCAGGGAACCAACGGACGTTGAAAGCCTCGGTCCGCGACAAGCCCACAGAGCCGGCGACGAGCGGCGTCGGTCAACGCCACGGCGGCCGCCCAGAGGACCCCGCCGACCCCACCACGTCTGCCCCGCTCCCGGTGCTGCTCACCTTCGAGGCGCCGCCGTCGGGAGGCTGAGGCTCCACCAGCCTGGCGCGGCTGGAGCCGGGCGCGGTCGACCGTCGCTGTCTAGACCACGACACGGGGCCCGACGCGTGCGCGTCCGGGCCCTCCGCTCGGTGGCCGAAAATGCGGATGCTCGGGGCGCAGCCCATGCTGGCGGCGACGCCGAGGACACGCTGGCGGGCAGCAGCGATCCGGTCAGCAAACGGCCAGCCCGGCGCCTCGGGGCCGCCGCGGGCGCCGTGTCATCGCGGCCTGAGCGGGCAGGCGGGCGGACGGACGGGCGGGCGGTGGCGAGCGCGGGGCTCGCGGCAGGAAGCGCGGCCACCTCTTCTATCGCGCTGCGGGCGCGGCGACGGCGGCCGTGGGGAGGGGTCGCTGGGGCGGGAGGCGCGCTGCGGACGCCCCTCCGAACATGCCCTTCCTGAGGCGGGAGCCGCCGCCGTCTCCCTCACATCGCCGCGCGCGCCTCGGCCACCGCGCTTCCGGGGAAAGTCGGGGGAGGAGATTAGCGCTCTCGCCACCGGGAGCCGCGGGCCCGCGCCGGCGTTAGCCCCGCCGCCCTCGCCTCGTTCGACTCTCGAGGAACCGGCGCTCGCCTGGCAGCGCCCGGCAAAAAAGCGCCCCCTAGTCGGGGCGACCGTGTGGGAAGCCTCGCCCTCTGGCCCCGCGCTGCGAGCTGCACGGGGGAACCGGCGCACCGAGGGAGCGAGCGGCTCAGTTCCGCTCGGGCCGCGCCGTCGAGAAGCGCGCTGAGGCGGCGGCAAGAGCCAGCTGGGACTTGCGCGGCCGAGTCTTCCGCTCCGCGCTCCGGACCGCGTCTTGCGGGCAACGCGCCGCGCCCAGCCCCCAGCGGTGACCTCCAGCGGCTGCTGGCGTCAATGCAAAGCAGCTGGGGCGCCCGCCGCCTGCTCCCGGGACCGCCCGTCCAAGAGCATGCGCGGCCGCGACCGCAGGGGCGCCCAGCCAGCCTGCCCAGAGAGAGGGGAAGGGACTTGCTCGAAGACACAGCAATGCTGCTTCGGGGGCCACCCGCCTCGTTCACTGTCACACATCGCTGTGTTTGAGACTTGGAGCTCGAGCATCCGTTACGAGGCCGGTTGCAAGGATTTCATTGCGAGGTGACCAGAAGGCCACGGGGGCACCACACTCCAGGTCCCAGACGTTATTACCGGGGGCAGCAGCCCTTGCTCCGGGACCTGGCACGGCACGCCTCTGGGTGCACCGGGATCGATACGACTGCGAGGCTTCGAAGCTACAGTACGTGGAAGGCCGGTCCTCTTAACCAAATGACAGTTCCAGGTTCAACAGCCCCAGGAATCAGAACCAAGGGAAGGGGTGCGCGCCCGTCCAGCAGGGATCAGGCCTGCGAGGACCCCCGGATAAGATGTCAGAACTGTAGCCCTCACAGGCTGCCAGCCTAGCTGCGTGACTCCGGATGAGTCTCTTAGCCTCTCTGTGGCTGAAGCTGCAGGGCGACGCCCCTGGGTGTGCATCTGGTACCCAGAGCCGGTCATTTCGGGGGCCCTCCCGCCCTTCCTTGCTCTCCAGGTCCGCCGGGACCCCAGCGGGGCTGTAGCTTCCTTTCCCCTGTCCACACCTTTCCTACCCGCACCGGGGAGCGACCCTGAGAAGCCCAGGCTCCCGGCCCGCGGGCTGGCTACTGTTAAGACCCGGAGATGTGCTCCGGGCTCAGGTCCCTGCTGCCCCGCTGAGACGGGCACAGGTGCTTTCCTTGAGCATCGATCTTCCAGATGAATGGAGGGCGCATGGAGGCTTCGGAGCGGATAAGGCTGGAGCAGCTCTGGCCATTGGCACGTGGCTCCTTTGTCAAGTTAAAGCGCTCTGCCTTAAGTCTCACTGGCTCCGTGGAGGTGTCTTGAAAAAACAGGAGGGAATGTAATATCACCCGTTATTCCACCCAAATTGTAGTGTTTTTGACTAGCAACCTTAGAGGGTAGTTTTTTCAGCTGGCATCTGGATCCCTTGAAAAAAAAATGCCTTTAGCCACAGAGGCTCTAGCAAATCTAAGGCTCTTCTCTCCGCCCACCAGAAGTCTGGCCTTGAGAACTTCACACTGACCTTGCTTGTGAAGCTCCAGGAAGCCCCAGCCCTCTTGGCCCTCCCCGCACAGGCTGGCTCTCAGCGGTCCTGCTTTGTCTTAGGGATCCTTGAGCTTCAAGTCAATAACAGGGTGGGGCTGAGGAAAAGGGGCTCATCTGGAGACCAAAGACTGCTGGTTCCTTCCCCTCCTCCCCCTCCGCCATCCTGATTTGGTTGCTTACTGTCTCTAATCTCAAAACTGACCTCCCGCCCTGCAATTTAGGGTTCCACAGATCTGGAAACCTGAGTGAAGGACACTCAGGCAGACTGGAGCCATCTGTTCTCACTTGAGGGGTGGGGGGAGCCCACTTTTCCTGGTTCTTAAGACCTTAGGCTGGGTCACTGTTGGAATTGTGGAGAGTAAGCCATCCCATCCCTCCTCAGGCTAGAATCTGCACCTGCAGATCTTTGAAAACAACCTGTGAAACCAGAGGTCCTGCAGGGCTCAAAGAGTAAACCTTCCTGGTGTGTGGCACCCAGTCCATCACCCAGGGTGTTGGGGGCTGGTGAAGAAACCCACTCAGGGCTGGAGAGATGGCTGGGTAGTTATCAGTGGGCACTGCTCATGCAGAGAAGTCCCAGCTCCCATGCCAGGTGCCTACAGCCAGCTGCTTTACTCCAGCTCCAGGGGATGTGACTACACTCCCTCTCCTGTCCCGCACTCATGCACACAGACACACATGCAGCGTGTGCAAAATAAAGTTTAAAAAAAAAAAAACACCAGTTCTGGGAGTAGTGGCCTATGCCCAGTCTCCATGAGACTGAGGCAGAGGGCTTACCATGTGTTTGAGGCCAGCCAGATCTATATGACAAGTCCCTGTATAAAACTGAAGAAAAAAAAGGGGAGGGGGCTACAGAGTTGGCTCGGTAGCTAAAAGCACTTGCTGCTCTTGGGTTCCTGACACCCCCCCATAGTGGCTCACAACCTTCTGTAAATCCAGGTACAGGGGATTGGATGTCCCCTTCTGAACTCCAGAGACACCAGGCATTCATGTGCACATACATACATTCAGGCAGGACACTCACACAATTTTTTAAAAGCCTAAAATTTAAAAATAAATAAAAAACAACCCACCAAGAGTCTCAGAGAACTGAGTCCTACACAGAGGAGACGCCCTGCCCCCAACAGTGCTAGCCAGCAGGAACCTCACTAGCAGGAGTAAAATCTACCCACAGCCCTGACATAGAAACCCTGACAAGGGTGACTCAGACTTGTAGTTGAACATCCATTTCTGACTCCCAGGACTCAGCGTGAGGTTCAGTGGGGCTGAGCGGAGGATGACCTCAGGATCTCAGCTCGATCTCCTTCCTGGGGCTGCAGTTTCTGCAGTCAGCCATTCTCAAGGAGACCCCACTCCTGGGGGCTAGGGGAGAGGAGCTTCAGTCCCTGTGGTGCGAGAGCTGCCTATTGTTTCCCTGCTTCTCCAAAAGCTGCTGGCTTAGCCAGCCAGCTCTCCTCCCTCAGGGCCTTACTTCCTTCTCCACCCAGGGGCTGGCTGTCTTCAAAGACTCCCGCTGGCAGAGCGGTCCCCAGGGCTCTGCTCGGGCCTTTCCCCACTGAACTGGGCTGACGGAGGAGGGAGCTTTCTGACAACTTGAGACGTGACTCCCAGCCTTGCCCTTTCCTGGACCTTGGATGACCAACTTTACTTCTGTGAGCTGATTTTCTCTACTGTAAATCTAGGATTAAAGATATCTTCCTCTCAGAGATTAGATGGGACCGCTGATGTCAAATGCCTATAATAACCTCTGTGTCCCTTAGATTCCACTCTCCTCTGGGAACTGAACATTCGTTTCAGTTCTGATGTTCACCCAGCACTGCCTTCAGTCCTGGTACTACACATACACCTACAGAAAGAAATAGAATTTCCCAAACAAATCTATGGCTTCTACTTTATCAACTCCCCCATCCTTACCTTTCAAGGCCTTGTATAAATTACACTGGTTTTCCTTGGTTGTTGAGACAGTGTCTCTCAAATTATCATTGTTTTCAATTGTACATTCTATAAATTCATACGCAAATACATTCTGAAAAAAATAGTAAAGCATTTGAACTAAGCAGAGGTATATAGCGAACAGAAGAAAAAAGTAGGGGGAAGAAAAGCCAGGCACAATGCCCTTAATTCTAGTACTCCACGTATAGGCAGAGACAGGCAGATCTCTGTGATCTTGAAGCCAGCCAGGGCTACATAGTGAGCTGCAGGCCCCTCAGAGCTATAAAATGAGAATGTCTGCCTCACAGAAAGAAAAAAGAAAGGCACTTCCCTTCTCCAAACATAACTATTAACAGTTTGCTAGACCCATCTCAACATTGAACATTACATGTGTGTATGTAGCACACCCAATACAATACTACAAAGAAGGATGCAGTGGACATCACTTAAAAGGCTTTGTGATAATGATTTACCTAAAAGTCTGTCGCCTGCTCCCTTGCTCCAGAAGGGGTGAAGGGAAATGAGATCAAAGACATTCAGCCCTGGCTGCCACTGAGACAGGAAACACACTGGCCACCTTCCCCACCAGCCCCCTTCCCCACCAGCCCCTGAATCAGGCCTTTCTGAGCCATCTCTCCAGATTCATATTTGTTTCTTTACTAGCCCCTGGTATTTTATTCCCTGACGATCCCAGCCTTTCTTAGATAACAGACTAACAGGGTGACCACCTTCAGAGAGAAGCCACAAAAAGGGTGGAGCGCCCTCTGGAGGACAGAATGGTGGAGGCATAAAACCTCAGAGGTTCTGGTCCTCTACCTGCAGGACTCCATTGTGCTGCTGTGGCCCCCCCCCCCTTCAGTTTGGCTTGGTTCTTGTCATCAACTTGGAGCCCTGGTGTGACAACTCAGTGTGGACTCCTTTTCTCAAAATGGGCCTATCGATGTCATGGTTTGGGAAGTCTCCGGCTCCCAGCGCTCACTCCCATGTGTGACCCTGTGATTCCATCCACCCCTTCCTGCAAAGGCTCCACCCCTCTTTCAGCTACTGGATGAGAAGCAACTGTTCTGAACTTTGTCCTGTGAGGGAAGTGCTGAGGGGCCAAGGGCTCACACCCA